AGCTCGAACATGATGCTCGAAAAACAACAAGGCGTAAGTTCAAATTTTTAAATTCAAGACTTCGGTTCTCGATTTTCGACCTCAGTGGTCGATCAACTTTCGGTGTTCGACCCCAGTGGCGGGTCTCTCGATTTTCGACCTCAGTGGTCGATCAGCTTTCGGTGTTCGACGGGTCTCTCGATTTTCGACCTTAGTGGTCGATCAGCTTTCGGTGTTCGACCCCAGTAGCGGGTCTCTCGATTTTCGACCTCAGTGGTCGATCAACTTTCGGTGTTCGACCCCAGTGGCGGGTCTCTCGATTTTCGACCTCAGTGGTCGATCAACGGTCGATCCTAGTGTTGGGTCGGTGAAGACATGGATTCTATTAAAGACCTCGGTGGTAGGTCGACAATCTTTACTTGGTTTTGGTGTTGTCGAATTTATTTTTCGACCTCAGTGGCAGGTCGATTATCTTTATTTGATTCTTGGTTTCGTCGAATTTATTTTTCGACTTCAGGAGATGGAAGACGGAATTCATTACGAAGAGCTCGAGCAGACCCCAATAGTAAGTCGAGAGAGTTCATTTGACGTTATTCACGGAGATTACTCGAGGACCTCGATGGCAGCTCGACAATCTTTACTTGGTTTTGGTGTTGTCGAATTTATTTTTCGACCTCAGTGGCGGGTCGAAGAAGTTCATTTCGAGCAACTCAGGGAGTTTACTTGCAGACCTCGGTGGTAGGTCGATGATCTTTATTTGGTTTTGTCGAAATTCGGCTTTCGACTTCGGTGTGGGGTCAGGACATTCGGTTTTCGAGAGGATAAACAGCAGAGTTGAATTTCAAATTTTGAACTGGGGGGGCGATGATAGGAGGAGGTGGTAGAAAAGGCTTATCTTTGAATGAAGAGAGCTCGAACATGGTGATCAAAAAACAACAAGACGTAAGTTCAAATTTTTAAATTCAAGACTTCGGTTCTCAATTTTCGACCTCAGTGGTCGATCAACTTTCGGTGTTCGACCCCAGTGGTGGGTCTCTCGATTTTCGACCTCAGTGGTCGATCAACTTTCGGTGCTCGACCCCAGTGGTGGGTCGCTCGATTTCGACCACAGTGGTCGATCAACTTTCGGTGTGACCCCAATGGTGGGTCTCTCGATTTTCAACCTCAATGGTCGATCAGCTTTCGGTGTTCGACCCCAGTGGTGGGTCTCCCGATTTTCAACCTCAGTGGTCGATCAGCTTTCGGTGTTCAACCCCAGTGGTGGGTCTTTCGGTTTTTGACCTTAGTGGTCATTCGGTATTCATTTGGGGTCCCGATGCTCATTTGGAGATTTGGTGACTATTTGGTGGTCGATGGTTTATTCAAATTACAACCTCAGTGGGAAGTTGACGGAAACAGCTCGAAGAGGAATTCCACTCTTAGGTCGAGTCACCAGAGTGGGGGAGACTAGATGATATAGGATATTATATACTAGACCAGTCATAATGGATAAGAGGGGAATATATTGAAGAATAGGCCTACACATGGCTAGGACACGTGGCACGACGCTATTGGACAAGCCCAACTTGGGCCATAAGGTACACTCCCCCTATAAAAAGAGGCTAAGGTATCCCATTCTCACATTCTCTCTACATTCACAATTATACTCTTGGGATTTGGAGTGATACTGACTTGAGCGTCGGAGGCCCGACGTCGGGCCCCTCCCGGCGTTGGGTTCTTGCAGGTCCGGCGGCCGTTCGAGTTGGAGGAGCCCGGGTGAAATCTTGTTCACTTCAAATACTTATTAAAGGTTGGGTATTTTCTTGCTAAATTAAAAAAGATGAGTTCTATTTGCAATTAACCAAAAAATTATAATTTTTCTGCAATTAACCCTAGATTATATTTGTATTTTTCTGCACTGTCCAAATTCCAACAAAAGCGGTTCGAGGCTCCATGCAAATTTGGATGCGTAGCCTATATATTTTTGCAATAAATAAATGTTCATTTAGTTTGACTATTAGGCTTTCCATTTGTTTGGACATCACTAAAAAATTAATTTACCACTTACAGCAAATTGTTGCTTTTGATAATATGTAAATTATTCTGACGATATAGCAAGACCCAAAAAAGCTCTAGATAAATCGAATAAGTAAGAAGGCTAACGAGTAAATCTAGTCTAATGGGAAAAAATTATATATTTATAAAAAATATTTAAGGATATTAAGTAGGCTATATTATTTCAATGTAGTCAATGGAGAATTAAGTAGGTTAACCTACTAGCTCCAATAAAATATGGGACCCACAAGAATTATAACTTATAAATGGATTTATTAAAAGTTAGGTAGTGCTCGATGAACCACTAAATATGACTTGCATTTGTTTGTTTTGTTCAACAGAAATTAGGAAAAGTTGACTATTTAGTTTGTTTCAATAAATTACAAGTATATATTGAGGGATTAATGAAATATTTGACCTAATCAAATCAAATTGTAAAGTATTTATCAATACATTGGAATAATTTAAACATCATCACACAGTGAGAAGGAAATATAAAAATGTTCGGAGAGTGGGTGTGCCATAGGAGCCTACAATATTTGAAGCTTTCACGTGCAACACCACACAGCTTTAAATGTTGTACTGTACAAACTAATTAGGTAAAATTACCTACTATATTGAGAGAATGAATGAGGTTCAAGCTATATTGGGAAGATCATTTTGAGAAAAGATATAACACTTTGGATTTGGATTAATAAATATGTTGATAACTTGATATGCGTTTTTGAAANGAAAAAAAAAAAAAAAAATATTCACTTGTGAGTTGTCCCACATCATTTATATAGGGAAAATATGCATAGTTTATAAGTTTAATGAGCAACTCCTCCTTCCATCAATTGGTTTTGAGATGGAATCCCACTTGGGCTTCATCTGGCCTTTTCCCTGTCTTCGTGCGCTTCATCTGCGTGGGACCGCACCCGTTTTGCTCCCGTTTCTTACAAAACATAATTTTGATTTTCTGCATAAATTTATATTTATTGGTAAAATGAGAAGAATAGGACTAGTACTTATTCGACGAGTAAGATATTGATATAAATTATAGGGTAGTGTTCTGATAAAAAAATGTGGCCATCCTATCCAACTTTCAGGCATTAAGATACGTTTCAAGGGCAGATGATTATCATAAGAGATTCCCAACATATCATAGGATTCTCGTTCTTGAAAATTTCTCCTCGCAGTTAGGCAGTTGGACACGCTGGCGACCACTGGTTGCCTTTGGACGAACAAGATGATTCAATTGGGGAGGGGGAATTGATTTAAAAATTAGATAATTTCTAAGGACTTTGGTGCAATTTCATAAATTTCAATGTATTACAATTTAGTTCATGCGTCAAATTTATAATTTGTCAAAACTTTAATAATTGCACAATAATGTTCAGTGCATTGAACAATTTAACTTTTAGATATGCACATTAAAAATTATCGCTCTACAGAAACTGTACAATAGTGTTAGACAAAATGCACATTAGTGTCAGCCAAATTGAGCTATATATATAAAGTTCATTTATAAGTTCTATTCACACCAACATTATTCACTCTAGTAAATGTTATTAGATTGATTTTCCTACGAACTCCAAAGCTATGTGGTATGATTGATGCAATGTTTGGTAAAACTAATTGATAAGCTAACTGATACTTTATAAACCAGGTGATAGCTGATAAGTGAATTATCAGCTAATTGATAGCTGATAAGTGAATTCGAGCTTATAGCTTATAGTTTATTGCTTAAGGTTGAAAAACTAAAGTGTTTGGTAAAATTAGCTGATAAGAAGTATTTCAACGGCTTATTTCAAAAGTTATCCAAAAAAAACTTATGAGATAAACTAGGACTTTTTAAAATGTTCCTCCTATTAAACCAAGCTTATTAGAATAAAACAAAAAATTATAAGCTAATCAAATATGTTATAAATTAACTTATAATGCTTACCACGAACGTAAAAGAGCGAGACAAATTAACAGTCAAATTAAAATTGCATTGGAAACCTCATTAACATGGACTAACTAGATAGATACAGAACTTAAATTGAAAAAACTAATTAAAACCAGTGGACTTGTTGCAAATTTCCAAGGAAATCACATGAGATTTTCCAATTAAACATTTCTCTGCTCTACAACTTCATTACCCTGACACAACGTTGATGTGTGACGGTTTAATAATTAATCGATTGAATCCATTACGATTTTTTAATAAAAAGATTAAAAAGGAAAGTACAATATATATATATATATATATATAATTGTTGGCTCGAATAAACCCTATTAAATTATACCTCACAATATAACTTTTTTTCTTTAAAAATCATTACTTTTTATTTATTTAACCTCTCATTTAATTATTAGATAATCAATACAATAATCACTTTAAAATTACAAAAATCATTTTAACTTTTGATTTACTTACAGCTGATCATATAATCTGTTGACTATTTAACGTGATTAGATGTTATTGTTGTGGTTACATTTAAATTAACTTCTTTTGGAAAATAAAAAACATATTTGAAATTTCTAAATAAATAATAAATAATTCACAAAAAAAAAATACATACTAAAATATACATTACATCCAATATGATAAACGCAATTGAAAAAAATAAATATTTCAGCTCCTTTAATTGTAAATTTGGCCTGCAAGAAAATTATTAATCATTATATGCATACAAATAATTCACAATACTTTATTTATATCTGTTCAAATGTACAAGTCGAATGCTAGGAAAGGAAAATCATACGAAAGAAAGAGTAATTTCATATCCCCTAAAATCCAGCTATTTTTTCTTAACCGCTCTACATATATTGAATCTTTAATAAATGCATGAATTTATTTGAAATTTAATAGAATATTAGTTGCGTCGCATATGCAACATAACATTTATCACCCATTATATGCTCCTCATCACCTTCAACTACGTTACATTTTCATTTTCTTTTCTTTTCTTTTTATTTTTTAAACTATATTTTTTTTTTTTCTTGTGCCTCTATCAATTTGGATGGCAGAAGAAAACGAACACGAAAAATCACAGTTAGTTACACAGATTTGCGCCATATCATCTCGTGCAATTGACTGCGCAAAATTTCACAGCCCAATTGCTGAAAAATCGCCATTTATAAACTGGTATCTCGTGCTTAGAGTATGTAATTATCTCTCATCAGTTGTTAATCTCCTTGTTTATATTCAATTTATTTTTTTATTCTTAAAATCATGGGTCATTGTAATTATTTAATTTGCTCATAATTAACTTCTTATTCTTCTTGTTTGTATTCATTTTTTCATATTCTAGAAATCA